TAGTATAGTTTATAAATTCAAAAGTATTCAAGTACCTACCTATCTTATTAAATTTAATAATATCTACTAAAATTATGGATGATCTATTTTATAACTAATAAACATCTGTTGAGATATAATGCCACGCGTACGGATCATGTCTTGACAATGCGTAATCGTAGTTTTAAATAAACTTTGAGTATGTCATAGGTACCTATTCAAAATTGTATGGAAACAGATAGTTTTATGTTTCAATTTTGAATTACGTAAGATCATTGCAATAAGACATTTATAAACATTATTTAATTTATCGGAATTCATTTTTGTGATATACAAAAATAAGACGTCTGTACCAAGTGAAAATGCAAATTTTCAATTGAATGTATGTACCTACATGTAAAACAACAGTTAAACTATATTAAATAGCGCTCCAAAATATCTTTCCTCAAAATATTACTATAATACTATTGCATTTGGGACAGTCATTTACAATAATTTCAGTTGTAACTGACATTTTTGTTTTATTACAATTATTATTTATATAGTGTTTTATATAAACTAAAAATAAATAAATCATTGAAACTAACTAATAATGTGCATCTTATTTATGCATATTAACTGACTTTATTGTGTATTATATGTTATTATTTATTTATTGAAATATTCAACGGTCACTAAATAACAAGGTAAGTATGAAAAAAGATTTCTCAAAGACTAAATTAACACAATATTAATAATAGGTACATTATACTTATATCTTATAAATGAATCATAATTATTATCATTTTAACTAAGATTAAAAATACTTAATTGCTCGAGGTTTATAAGAACAAATTATGAGTATAGAGGGACCGTTTTACATTTTCAAGATTTTGTCAAAAAAAAGAAAACTAAAAAATTTGAAGTAAAAAGCTCAGAAAGAGTTAAAATATTTTGAAAATTGTATCGTTCTTAGAATATGCTAATCATATTTTTGGAGAAAATTTCAGGTCTCTATAAATGTTATTGATATATTTGTAATAAAAAAAATCTATTTTGTTAAAAACCAGAGTTGCATAAATAGTAAATTTCTATACCTAAGTACCTACCAATAGGCAACTAAATCCAATTTGGTACCAACCATCAAAGCTTAAAATTGAACCATTTTTCTGTTCCAAAAGATGACGTCAAACAGAAAAAACACACATAAGTTAAATTAATAAATGAATAGTTCATAATCTGAAATATTATTTACTAAACCTTTTTTTTCAAGCCAAAAACTCAAGTATAAATGAACAAATAACAATATGCAATATGTTTATGAATAAAATATTTTATTCAAAATTATGAGTCACACTTTTTCCCGTTAGAAACATAATATGGCAATAAAAAAAATCAAAATGCGGAAAATGTCGTCATTTTCAAGAATCAAAAACAGAACAATTTTTTTTTTTTAATTACTAACGATGCTCTTACACATAGAACATTTTTTTAAACACCACGTATATACTTTTTTTGCAATATTTCATATCTTGCGGTACCAGTGTTATTAAAATATTACGCATATTATTCATTTTAATTACAAAATCCATTTCCCTACGTAATACAACTCTGGATACGCCCTTGATATAAACAGATAGATCTTATCAACATAAACAGAATTACTAACAGATCGCAAAGATTATCACCTTGATTTTAATGTAATCATATCTTTTTGTGTTTATAAGTTTAAAGCCTAGTAGGTACTTGATTAGTAAATACTAAATAATAAACAATAACCATTAAAACAATAGATTTTGCTGTTAATTGCTATGCAAGTATAATTAAATGGAAAATTGTTGATGCAATTCATTTAACATGTAGTAGTATTTGAAAAACCGTTGAACTTAAAACTTAATAAAATACAAATGTTTACTGATATTTTAATCTGAGATGTATAACATATATACAATATGTCGACAAGTGGGGGACAAAATGATAAAATATTGCATTCAAAAAACGATTCTGTCCGGAGTCGTTGTGTCATATTATGGCGTTGATCCTAGCACACTTGTATAAATAATCAAATTTGATAATTAAAAAAATAATAATAAAAATCGAAAATATTTATTAGCTAACATTACAGTACAGTAAACTTTTTGATAGAAGTAGAAAAACTTGTTAGAAAGCTACAGTAAAAATATCTAATGTTATCTATGAAAACAAAAAACTTTTATACATTTCTAACCGAAAAATAGTTTACACAATTTTTAAATTTTTAAATAATTCTTCTCATAGCAATAAATAGCTGAAAAACAGTCAAACTAGTTTACACATTTTATCATATATAAAAGGTTATTTTAAAATGTTGTGAAAAATTCTAGTTTCTACGGTTATTTGTTTTTGAATTACAACAAAATATCAAAAATTGATATCGTTAATTACCGGTGAAAGTTCAATATCGTAAAATATATCAATTTAAAAGCTCATAAAAAATTAGTGTTGTTTTGCTGTAAACTATTTTGTGTTTTATGTGGGAAAATTTTTCACTAAAATTTCTAATGTTAGCAATAGAAAGAAAATTTTTCTATTTTTTTCGATTTTCTAACTGAAAAATAATTTGAACATTTTCAAGATTTTGATGAATTTTGTCAAACTTTGAACTTTAAAAAAATATAAAAATAATGGTGCCTATGTATCTTTAATATTTTTGAATTTCCAGTCAAAAAACTTATGAGGAACCATGGATTAAATTGTTCACACTTTTTACTAAGTGAAAAAGTTTTTATCGACAGTAATTTACAAACAATTTACAAAATTTGAAAAATTTCTCAAGGCTATCAAAAAAAAAGCTCAAAAAGATATCAAAATATTTCAAAAATGTGAGCATATTCAATATATGCTGACATAATTTTGTGAAAATTCAAGTGTTTACTGTTATTAGTTTAGTTACACCAAAAAAATCTTATTTTTTAAAATTGCTTTTGCGTAAAAATTACCATGTTTTTCACTATTTTTCTGTTTTTCTAAACGCTTTTTAAAACAACTATGAATTATAATTTTGACTTCTCAAAAGTACCGACTAAATTCAATTTTCTATCAGAAAAAATGATGATGTCGGGAATTGAAGAATTTTCACTAGGTATCCCAAATGTTGATGATAGATAGAAAAAAACACACATATAATTTTAAATACAATACATATTCGTTACCTTCAGAGTTTAAAATAAACAATGCCGTCTTAAAAATGTATATAGTATTATAATACTTACCTAAAAAAACGAAAATGAAATAATAGAACAAACTGATAAAGGTGTTGTCACTTTGACGAGTTAAAATAAATTGCTTTGAACTATTATGATTAGTTGTGGTTATTCTTTGGCATAATCCAAAAATATTGTGTAGCCAATATAGCCATCATTATCAATAATATAAATATAATATAAAGTTTAATGATGTATAATTAATATAATACAGTCGCTGATGTACAAAATGTTAACAAATTGGTTAAAATATAAAAATTTAAAGTTTAAGTTGAAACAAAAGGTATATTTTATTTTAAATTTATAAATTCAGAGCAGGGCCTATATAAGGTATTTATTTAAATAAATATAATTTTAATTTTAATTCCTCTAAAAATAAAACATTAGTTTTGTACAGACTTAAAGTATCTTTCAATTATAATATTAGGTATTTATAAGGTACTTGTGTAATAGTGTGTAATAGTCACGCGTGTAATTAATCGGTTACATTTAAGTTGAGTTATTTAGTTAATCAGAAATATTTCATTTATTTTATCAATATAAATCAAATTAAAAGATCTATTGACCTTTATTTAGAATATTTTATTTTTACCTATTTAGACTAACATTGTATTACAGTGATTAGTGATTACTGCTCATTAAAATGAAAAGCAAAAATAAAATATTTTAAGTAATATTTATTACAGTGATGTGTATATTCACGCCATGTCAGGAATTATGAGCCGCCATTGGTAGTTGTAAGGTATAACGTTAACAAAAAGTTGGTATAGAACCCATTGTCGCATTCAAAAATAGTAGAAAAAGAAAAATATACAATGAAATATAAAAAAACAATCCAGAAAAAAACATGATGAATAAAGTAGTGACAATAAGCTTTTATACAATATATTAATATATTATCGCGGTAAATTGTTAGTTTAAAGAACGTTTTCGGGGCACATGCTTTGGCGCGACAGATGTGGATTTTATGGCGACTGGCCAAGTCTTGGTCACTTTGTATGTATTGTAGGTAGATATACTTATCATCGTGCAAAGCACATTGCTGAAACTCGGGTACTCTTTGATGTATGTTTATAATATTGTGTATAATAATAAGATTATATATATTTTATTATATCATGTCAGAGTGTGAAAACAAATCCGTATAAGATATATACATCAAACTCTACGCGTGTACGACTATACGTAAACTCGTTATACTCGTATATTATGTTTTATCGTAAAATAATTTGCACTCCTACTACTTATTGTGATTTGTGAAAAAATGGAAAAAAATCGACCCAGTCAAATCCGCGAACACGAGGTGGAAGAGACCCCAAGCCCAACTCATTTAAAATTGAATCAATTACCACGAAACTCAAATATTATATTATATAATAACCAATTAGTCGTCTCAAAAATGTACCTCTTACACTCATCGTTTTAATATCCGATATGTATAATACCACTTAGGTAGGTAGGTCATAGATACCACGTGTAGAAATCTAAAACTGTTTACACTGATCTTTTTTTCACGGTTTTCTGTTCTTGAAGTTTCAGTTTTTTATATCCCAAACATCGCGCGAAGGATATAAATAATAATAAACGATTTATTATTTTTTTGAAGACGGTTCCGGCTTAGAAATGAAGAGACGTCTTATCTACCCGGACAAGTCGTGCGTCGCGTGCGTAACAGACCACGCGTGAAACCGTCTTTTATTATCTATGTATAATAATATGGTCGCACGTCATAATAATAAAGTGCACGTGTACCTGTGTGTATAATGATATTATTGTTATATATAGGTATGCCGTACGTACCTCTCATCGTGAACGACGACGGTCGCCAGTTACAACATGCGTGTATGATGTTATACTGTTGTTAATATATTATTATACGGTGGTATGATATTATAATAATACGAATACTGAGACGACGGATGACGAGCGACGAGCGGCGGCAGCGGCGGCGGCACTGCGCGGCGGCCCTGCAACAACAGCAGCTGCACACACCGATCCCGCGGACGAGCTGGACCCGACGCGACCTGGAGAAGATCGCGCGCGCGCCACAGGTGGTCGACGGTGGCGGCGGCGGCGGTGGCGGTGACTTCGTTCAGCGGATCCGCCGGTCCATGCGGGGCACAGCACTATATTATATTAAAATAATAATAATATGATTGTCGAATAACAGTGTAATGTGCCGGATAATGCGCGAGAATAATAATTTATTACGACGTCGCGGACTCGGTTTCGAAGCGAATATTATGTCGTAGTATTACAGTTGTTACCTACACTTTATGTACGTTTGACGTGCGTTTGTTGTGCGATCGCGACATGTGCGACAATAACAACGGTCGTAACAATGCGATATATTATATTATATTATATTATTATTATAATACTACGACCATCGACGCACAAGAAGTGATAACGTTTACGCCACGAGCGCGCGCGCGCGAACACCGATCGCGTTCAGTTCCGAGACCGGAGAGACCGGACGACGCGTATCGCACTCGGACGCACTGGGCGGGCGCGTATGGCGGCGAAGAGATAAAATGAAAAAAAAAAACGCGCGCGCACACGCGACTTACACTGCCGAGTGCTGGCGTACTTGCATATCGCGATCATACCACCACCGAAACGCGACGGCGACGGCAACAACGATACCTATGCGATTTTCGTTTAGAATTTGCAGTGCTGTTCATCATCACACACGACGACGACGACGACGACGACGACCGCGAGCGCGACTTGCAGGATAATGTTAAAATCGATATATGCAATTTAAACCCGCGGCGAGTGTGCGTTTCTAACAATTATTAATATTATTTTCCTTGACGATGTAATGCCGATTGAGTATGCAATGTACACATCGACGTCGTCGGTGTACGAGCAGTAACTAATAGTGACGACGAGCTTCAGCCGCTGCGGTGAATACAGAGTGACCCGCGTCCGTCCTCCCGACGATGATATTACATAATGAACCAGAGTTTAAAACGATTGACCGTTGTGGTTAAGACCCAAACATCTGAACTGGCTGAACCGTTATACTATACGGTTGTCGAGAAACCCGAAAACAAACATTTAAAATTGTTTGGAGTAAGCTAATAAAAAAAAAATCCTATGAATCATTAAGCAGCCGCATGTCCCTCGGCAGTATTACACATACAGTACCTACAACGATTTTCCAAAATCAAAGGTGAACAATTATTAATGCGTGCGCTGGGACGAACGCGATTAAACAAGCTGTGCACATATTGTGTCTCGCTGTGTGCTCGTCTTCGTACATATGCGCTCGTCAGTTTATATACCTACATTATGTGCTGTTCATCTAGACACATCCTGCCGAAAACTTTAAAATGAAAATTTCAAATTATATTGTTTGAACACTTATACGTGTGTATAATGGAAATCGGTAATTCTACCTACGCGTAGCTTTGTCAGGCTATGATGGCCATCGATCAGCCTTATAGATTTGTAAAAAAATAAATAATAGTATCGGCGGAGACAAACTTTTCGATACAAATACAATGACACATCCACAATATTATATAACTGTAGTAAAGGCTATAATAAAGTACATTACATCAGTAGGTACCTACGAGCTTATAAAATTCTATTTTATATGCAAATTATTTAGTTGTAACTTATAAAGTTATAACTTTACCGGACACTTCGGTAGTCCGGTACTCGGTACTCTGTCTGTATATGCATCGAATAATATTTAAATATTTATATATATAATATATATTTGAATAAGTATAATGTGTAGACATTAAAATATGAGCGGTCCGTGTGTGGTGTCAGCTATTATGTTTATCGGCGGATGGTGTGCCACTTATGTTTTTCAGATTAAAAAACAACTCTGATAACGTGGCAATGTGCATAAAATATATAATAATATGATAGAATGTGATAAATCATGTTAACTGTGCGGAGGGGAACGATTTACTGGGTAATGAACTATAATGTATAGTAATTTCAATAACATTATATTATTATTATAACAAGCTAATCGATATAATATTATTCATTACTTGTGTATATAGTAGGTATATGTAATATGTTGTATGCATAATAAACAGACTATGGTTGTGACTTGTGGTGGAAGCTGAACAAAAAAAAAATTAGACATAATTAGTGTAAATAATATTATGTAACTCGGCTCGATTGAGCTTAATTAATGACGATTATAATATTTTGCTTATAAGCGGACAATCGCGCTCGCGCGGCGACAGTCAAACACCACTGCACGTGCGTATAATATTGTTATTATAATATTATTATTACAGAGTCCAAACTATACTCGCATGTGGACAAACATACCTACGGAAGTCCCTTTCCCTGCCCACCATACTACAAATATTACACCGTCAAGCAACAGATCAACCGATGTATTATATTCATGGGCATGGAGACAAAAAAAATTGGAGGGGGCTGGGGTCTTCCGTCATAGACTATAATATTGAAAAAAAAACTTAGAGCCATATCCTATGTAACTATGCTTATTCCGGGTCTCATTAACAATCACTAAACACGCTATTAATGAATCAATGGTGAGATAATTGTCACATGATTTAGTGGTCCATTATGATTGGTCTATTAAATTTTATTGAACCATTAAATCAATTAATTGTTTATTCGATCCGGTATATTAGTATAATAGGTATTTAATTTATCTAAATTGCAATACGAAAGGATTTTTCCTCAAATAATTATTGTTGACTTAATTTTACGAATTTCAGACAATGATGATAAATGTATACAGTACCTACGACCTATAGGTACTTTATAGGGCAGAGGTATTCAAACTGTGCGTCGCGGCTCCCAGGGGCGTCCCGGGAGTTGTCGAAGGGAGCCGCGTAGTATAATAAAAAAACAATAAATTTTTTTACGAAAAACGTAACGACTACGTACTAATATCATAGAGGCACACCGGTTGGGAAACGTTGAATTGTCTACAACAATCATTCGCTAAATATAGCTTTAATTCATTTTATATATTATGTAATATGGTAAATAAATTATAAAATATAAATTACAATCATATAAACATTGATTTTTTTGTCATTTATAATCTGGGAGCCGTCAACATTTTGTGAATACTTAAAGGAGCCGTGGGATGAAAAAGTTTGAATAGGTACCTCTGTTATAGGGTTTGATTTGAAGGGAAATATGTCTCAGACTGCGTATAGGTGCAAATAGCATAAATTATCGAATTCCTAAGAGGACTGAATAATATCGATAAAATATAGGTAAAAAATGGGAGTCTACCAATTGTACTTAAAATTACATTTTTATATACCAATATTGCGCTCGGTCTGTCTGGGTCCATAATTCATTTAAGCTGGGTAATTTTCAAATTAATATTCATTTTATTCTAAAGCACATGTCACAATATTTTTATAGGACTATATTGAACATGAATATTAATAATACACAAAATATAATCTAATACACACAAATATATATAAGTACTTACAATTAAAAAAAATCACTTTAATACCTAATAATATTATTAATATACTACAGTATATTTTTTAGTATTCGATTAATGAAGAATCCAAACACTTTTATAAAAGATTCCTCAACCGTCTCTTCTCCCCCTCAAATCCTTTAATTAAAAACCTTTCCTCCCTCACAATCCCCGGCAGCCCTACTAGACGCTTAAAACGTAAATGGTGCAGATACCTTTTACAAATCTTAATATAGAAAAAAAATGTTAGATAAATAATTTCACGGTTAAAAATTAAAAATACAAAATAAAAAAGTCAACATTAAAGTGTCATCATTGGGTGGCTCCTCAAACCACTGTACTCGTGTTATAATATGTCTTTTAACCTATATACTTACTATTTCTTATGACATAGATTGTATATTTCGACTTAAACAAAAAAAAAAATGTACAATTAAAAATTAATAATAGTATACAAATAAATAGCTTATTTTAGATTCAACAAAATCAATTTGTTCAGACTGTTCAGTCGTTATACAACGAACGTAAATAGAAGTTAGCATAGGTAAATATTTATAATATACCTAATATACAGTGGATTCCGCTTAATGTGGGCACGTTGGGACCAGCCCTGTTTGCCCACATTAAGCGGTTGCCCATAAAAACCGAATTAACATTGTTAATATACATTTGTATTGGGACCAGGTCTGTTTGCCCACATTAAGCGGATGCCCATATTAACCGGTGCCCACAATAAGCGGATTCCACTGTATATACATACAAACATACCTATAAAGCATATACGCAGCGCAATTGGTTTACTGATCTTAAAATACAAATTTTGTTATAGGCGCAACTCCGCAACTGTCCGAAAAAATTATGCCACGTCTAGCAGGTACCCGTAACGTAGGTATTCTGAGGTATAATTGGTATGGTATAATATATGATACCAAGATGGTTTGTACTCGATATGAACTCCTTAAGTTGTGTGTATAAGCTGCAGAAGACGTGTGACGAATCATTACTGCGATGGACCACGCGATGATAATTAAACGCATCTCCTATGTAAATGATAGATGATAAATTGATAACATTATTCCCGCGAACTGTGACGTTTCGAGGAAAACGTCTTCCGCGTACTATCATATTATTATCGTTGATATAAAATATGAGGTATCGGTATCATTTAAGTGTGTTTGAATGTTTCACAAAATGACATGCTACAGCAGCACCCTCTGCTTACTTCTGGGATTTTGACCGTGGTGTGTGAGGTATATTATTATTAACACTATATAGCGTCGTACTATAACGGTCAAATACTAATGGGCGTTCAAGTCGATAACGATTTAAAAATAAAAAAAATATCCGTGGAATACAAATATTAAAAAAAAAAAAACAAGACTATATGAAATAATATATTTTTCTGTTAACAAATCCAGAAAAATTGATCATTTTTACATTTTCATTGCAAACATGTACTAATAATAAATATTAAATATATGTATTAATGAATAAATAAATTAATGTTTTTATACACTGAATTGTAAAAACGATTGCACCTAGTTGCAATTTGTGTAGTTTTCAATTTGACAAAATCGTGAATATGGCTTTTGAAGGAAGCTGTTCTAAAATAAATATAGCTCAAACAACATTTTTAAATCCCACAGTCTATGACATCATAACGATATGTTGAGCAAAAAAGTCCTATGTCTTATAGAGGATGAAAGAAAATGTTATTTGTCTTAAATGATTATCCGCCATCTGACATACTTGATGATTAATTCGAAAATTTAGAGGTACGCAAATTACGTACGCTAATTATAACCCTGTGCGCTACCTTGTGCGCTGTCAAATTTCTTTGAAAATGAAGTTTCAATCGTTCGCTAATTGTACGCAAATGAGTTGTAGCCTGGCGGAGACTCGTTTGCGCGCAAAATATGCATCAATGAAAACCCGTAAAAATAACTTGGGACAATTGGAAGTGCTTTTTGATAACGAACACGTATTTGGCGATGGAACTTTTACGTATGCCCGGAGGCATTTCTCGCAATTGTATACGATTCACGTTCAGACAAATTATTTTTGTTTACCTTTAGTGTATTGTTTTTTAAAAAAT